GTGAACGGCAGGGGCGCAAGGCGCCCCCGCCGGCCCGGTGTGATGTACATCGGGCACGTGTTATGTCCCTGACCCCTTGCAGACGACAACGAAAGTTTGATATGGGCCGCGAAAAAACGCGCGGGAGCCCAGCGCCTGCATGCGGCGGTTGCAGCGGCGCCGCTGCCCTGACTGGGGTTGGGGGAGCTATGGCCGCGCCAAGAAGCAGGCGCGCCCACGACAGGTCCCAAACGGGCTGGCCGCATGCAAGGGGCTCCCCTCCTCACCCAAGAGCGCTGCCCGCGCGGCCCCTGTCAGGCCGCTGTCGCGCGGCTGCTGGCGACGAACGGCCCACGGGGGCCGCACAAGGCACGGCGCAATCAATTTGGGCGGGGTGCCTGGCCAAGAAGGCCTCAGATCCACTGCGACCGTGTGCCACGTGTGAACGCCCAGGCCCATCTACGTCTCCCCCCTGGGGAGGGGGGCGCAAGGAGCGCGTGCCTCCTTGAAATGCAGAGGCGCGACAGGGGCAAGTGGGCACTGGGGCCGCTGCGCTTCAAGCCACAACCCATGGCATATTAGCGGAGGGCGAAAAGCCGAGGGGCCCAGGAGGGGCGCGGGCACCGACTGGCACCGCGCCCCTGCCATTTGCTCGAGGGCCCGCCGCCAAGTGGCGCGGCGACAGCGGCGAGCGCCGAGGCGAGCGCCAAGGCAAACGACAATAACCCGCAGTCAAATGGGTGTTGCGTGGCTTGAACAGCGCGTTTCTCCGCTGGTGCTGTGCGCCGGCCGAGGCCCGGCTTGCTTGGGCGGAGCCAGCGGGGAGTCACTGCAGGCGGTGCTTCTCAACTCGTTCCCTGTATTGCAACCGCAAGCCCGGGCGCTAAGGCCTGCCTCTATGTTGGCAAAAGAGAGACAGCGCGGGCAGCGTGGGCCCAACAGCGCCCGCGGCCCAGCTGCGTGCTGCCAGAGTAGGCGCGCATATCAGTGAAAAGAGAGCGGCGGTGCGGTTGAATTCCCGTGCGTGCGCGCGCGCCAGGCGGCGGCGTGCGGGGGGCAAGAGGCCCCGCGGACAAGGCGCCGCGCGGCATCGCACATCACGCGGCCGCGGCAATTACGCAAAAGCCGCGGCCAGGCACTTCCTACGCAAACGTGCGCCCGCAGTCGCGGAGCGCGCGCGCCGCCCCGGGGCGGCACAAGCAATGAGGGGTGCGGCGAAAGGGCCGCTGGAGGGGGGCGTGTGGCGTGCAGCTATTCAGTGCGGAACGCCGAACGAATCGTCCGGCGCGAGGACAGGGGCCCGATACTTTTGCTGCGCGGGTCGCGACGCGGACGCAAGCGCGGCCCCGCGAGGCCCGGCAGCATGCCGGGCGAGGGGGTGTGTGTGGAGAAAAGCGGGGGGGCGCGGGCGGGCGGGCGGGCGCGGGGTGGGCGCCGCGCGGCGCCGCGGCCGCCCAGCGCCTCCTGGGGGCGCCGTGCAGAGGTGCCTCGTGACGTGTGCTGCTCCAGGCCTCTCCGACCGATCTGTATACCAACGAGCGGCCCTCGCCCGCCCCCAGGAGGCGCCTTCTTTGCTTGACTCTCGTGCTCCTCTCCCACCAGTACTCATCTCTCTCGCTTTCATTCCGTACCACAGGACTCGTCACCAGGCCACATCAAGGGCGCCGCTGCCAGGAGACGTGCGCGGGAGGCCAACGACACAACAGCGGACACAACGCGGCCGGGCAAAGCGCGTCTCGCGCGCGCGGCGCGGGGGTGCAAAACGCACGCGGCGGCCCGCCCCGAAAGCGGGGCGCGACCCGCGCGCGGCAGCCCCCGCGCCGCCGGGCGCCCCGGCCAATTGGGCAGTCAGGCAAGTTTTCCGATTGGGTCAAGACATCGGCCGGATGCAGTGGTGGGGCCGGTGCGGGGTTAGAGGTGCGGGAGCTGCAGCATTGACAGGTGGGTCCCCAGGCTCAGGTAGTCCCCGGGGCCGCCAGCAGAAACCTGCGGCGCCGCCGGCGCCGCGCTGACCGCCGCGCCCGCCGCCAGCGCGTGGTGCGCCTCAAACTGTTGCGACGCCAGCGCGCAGCGCAGCGCCTCGAGGGCCTCGCTCTCCTGCCGCGCGGCGGCGACCGCGGCGGCGGCGGCGGCGGCGGCGCGGCGCTCCTGCAGCCAGAGCGCCTGCAGCGCAGCGCGGCGCTGCTGCTCCCGCGCGTCCGCTGCAGCTGCCGCAGCCTGGTGCTGCTGATGCTGATGTTGCTGCTGTTGCTGCTGCTGCTGTTGCTGCTGTTGCTGCTGCTGTTGCTGCACGGCCAGCAGCTGCTGCTCGCGCTGCTGCGCGGCCAAGAGCGCTGCGTGCTGCTCCCGCTGCTGCGCCGCCAGCGCCTCACACTGCTGCGCGGCCAGCTGCTCGCACTGCTGCTGCACGAACAGCGCGCTGAGCAAGCGCTGCTGCTGCTCAGGGTCGAACGCCCCGGAGCCGAGCAGCGTCTGGCCCGTCCACGACATCGCCACCGGCGACGGGTGCGGCCGCGACCCGCCGTCCAGCCCGCCGCGCCGCCCGCCGCGCCCCGGCGAGCCCGACGCGCCGGCGCTGCTGCCGCTGTTGGCGCGCTCCAGCAGCGCCAGCGCGGTGCGGACCTGCTGCGGGTGGTGCGCGTCGGCGACCAGCCACGGCGGAGGGGACGACACAGATGTGAAGGGCGCGGACAGCGAGAGGGAGGAGCTTGAGAGGCTGCCAGAGCGGGGGGACCCGCCCTGCATTGACGCCATCGCCATGACAGCAGCGGCGTCCTCGTGCGAAGCAAAGCCGAGCTCGGTCGGCAGCAGCGGCGGCAGCGACAGCCGCAGCGCGTCGGCGCTGTCGAGCGCAGCGGGCGGCGCCAGCGGCGGCCGCCCAGACGATCCCATCGCACGCGGCAGGTCGAGCGAGCCGCGGG